TGCCACAGAACAGATGTAAAATTAAAGGGTATATGTCAATTATAAATATATAGACACCTAGAAACCATACAATTGGCCTTCAAATTATCGATATTCTGTAACATGTCAGCCACATATCAGTAAATATACATTTTTATGCTTTTAAGTGTTGGACAGATATTTCACTTAAATATAAAACAATGCTTCTTAAATTACACATTTAAAGGTTTATTTAATACAAAAATTTGTTTAGAATACATCCATTTCCCTGGGGAATACTGAAATCTGTTCAGTATATACCCATAAACCATTAAATATACTTATATTCTGGTAACATATATCTCTCTATAAATTTATAATCATACTTGGACAAAAGTTGACTCTCTGGAGCAGTGATATCATTCCTGCTACAGAGTTTTCCAAAATCAAGAATAGTGGAATTATGTGAATCATTCTGAACTTGGATGTAAGCCCTCAGTTAAAAGACAGTCTGAATACCACAAGATGAGAGTACTAAAAGTGATTTCCCACAGGATTTTTGCTCAGAAGACACAGTTGTTGGCAGTCAGGTAGCCATACGTACATGGCAAACATGAGAACAAAGACAATACTAATTCATAAGCATTATATTCATTATTCATAGTATACAGTTAGTTGATAAATGGAAAAGTGCCACATTCGTAAGCACATTTTTGTAAGTTTGGGAAATGCAAATGCTCAGCTCAGAAACATTGTTTTGAGATTTAAAGAATTTTGCTGATCCACTGTTTTCCCTTAGAAAACCACAAGCCATGTAGACCACAAGAAGTGAACAGCATCAAAATCATAAAGCTATGTATGAACTCCATGTTATTCAAGGATACAAAATTTAGGAGGAATACAGGAATAGGCTAAATAATATTCTAAGCTGTCATAAGTTATCAGAAAAATATGTTAGCATCAGACTGGAAAAATGTCACTTAGACACCAGTTTTCACAGAGGATGTTATTTGATAACAGGGGATATAAAAAGGTATGTGTGCTGGCATGAAACTCTGGATAACATCAGAAGAGGCTACTTCCAGTGCTTAACATGGAACCTGGGGAAAAGATGGCTTTTAGGGAACTATTATAAATGTATCTGTCTACATCATCTAGTTCCGGTAGCTGCTGTTACAGATTTTTGACCTACATTTTGGGTCACAAAGTATGTGCCTGAACATGAGCTTTCCTAATTCCGTTTAAATTCAGGTTTTTCTGGGAAGCAAGACACCTGTTTTCCATTAAATCTTTTCTGTGATCCAGTTATAGGAATCAGCTAAATAAATTCTTGGGAAGCCCCAGGAGACCTGACTGAGGCATGTTCTCAAGGTGCCAAAATACATGAAGTCCAAGTCCTCATGAAAATCCACAGAAAAGGCTACAGAATAGCTTGGCAGGAATAAAGAGCTGGATCTTGGCAATCACTGACATATTTCTGTTCTCACTATGACAATCAGCTGTTTTCAACCAGGTATCTCCTCAATGGTATTTGTCTGGGAAGGATATTTCCTGCATATTTCCAAACCTCCCTGGTGACTCTCAACCTTTCTTTGAGATGTCAGTTGGATACTTCTTACATGGCCCCATTTTTAGGTGTCTACCTGGTCCTTAAGTTTTAACATATTTTGTAAATGAAAATGATGTATCTTGCTTAGATATGAGAAGTCCACTAAAGGAATTAAAAAGTAGGCAATGTTATTTTAAATTTAGGAAAGCTACAATCTTGAAATGTAGATGATGTTTTAATTCTTCCTACCAGTTGGAAGCAAGTGCGAGCACATTTCCTTTTTTTTGATGAGTGAGTCAAAATTTGATCTTTTAGAGTGAAAAGGACTCTATAATTTTCCCTCAAATTACAAATGAAAAGACATTTACTGACCGCAGTATAATTGCATTGCTGTCTCAATAAGTTAGCTATAAAAAGACACGTTCTAACACACGTATCTCTTTGTTTCCAAAAAAGCAGTCTATCTTGAAATTTGGTATTTGGACAAGAAAGTCAGCAGAATGTATAATTCAGAGGCCATTTGTGTCAGCTTTGTTTGAAATCCTGTTCTAAATCTGACTGACAAAGAAAGAATGTGGCCCTCGTTCATATGACACGAGCTGAAAAATTACGAGCATTAACAGCTTTCCAATCAGCTCCTTGATACCTGCAACTCCATGTGTAGTGGATGGAGTTTCTCAAAACACTATTCTCCACATTTAATGCTGTAGACCATGGCATTTTATAACACATTCATCCAGCATATCACATCCACATGGCACAGCACAACCACTGAAGGAAAAATAAAGGAAAAATATCAGAAGATTAATAGATAGTGAAAGTGTGGAGATAAGGCTCAAGGCAAGAAAATATGTTATATTAACTGTAACTCTGTGCTCACTAACCTAATCTGGAAAGGAAGCATTTTCAAATCTAAAATAGGAAACCCATACTGAAAACTGCATTTTAAATTTTCATATTGAAGTGCTTTTCAGTGGGTAGGTTCCTGCATTTAACCGTGTGGAATGAAAGAGAATATTTATGAAGCATTACAAAATATAATTTTTTTGATAAATTTGTCTGAACTCCTTCACAACAGAATGCATGAATTTTGCTTATGCTGACATTTAAGATTACCCTTGAAAGTAACCTTTTTTCAGCTCGACAAAAGGGTCTTCTCTGCCTACATCTTCATTTACCATCTGCACTGCAGACCAGTGCATTTCCTTATTAAACTTTTCCAGAAGCCCTTCATGAAAAAATGAAATCATTGCCATCTCTGCTTTCATTGACACTGATTATGACAGAAAAAGAAACTGACTGAGACATCCTGAACTGCTCTGGGTAAAGGCCTACCAGGACAGGAGAGAAAAGAGGGATGTTTACAAGGACATGCAGTGACAGAGCAAGGAGGAAAGATTCAGATTAGACACTGGGAAAAAAATCTTTATTGTGAGGATAGTAGGGCACTGGAACAGGATGCCAAGAGAAGCTGTGGATAGTGGAGGTGTCCAAGGCCAGGCTGGATGGGACTCCGAGCAACCTGCTCTGGTGGGAGGTGCCCATGGCAGGAAGGGTTGGACCTTGATGATCTTTAAGATCCCTTCCAGCCCAAGCTATTCTGTGCTGACACAAGTGAGTGGTGTATACATTGCACAGCCTCATGCCCAGAGAATCAGTTTTCTTAGGGTTAAGCTGACTCAGTTTCTAGCACAGGCATTTAGCAGCTCTGGATTCATGTCAAATACAGCCACAAGTGTGTCAGTGGCCATGTTGCTAGTTCCCTGACATCACAATGATTACTACCAAACTTCTGTTAATTCTGGAGAAGACTGTACTTCCCACTATTTTAAGTTAATTGAAGACAGAACTGAGTGGGGTTTTATGTATTACATTTGAGCTCTGCTAACAAATAGCAACATTCTAGATCAAAACGCATGTTTATAGTTGACATGGTAAAAATCACTAAAGGTAAGCTGTGACGTAAACTCAGTCATGGAGGAGAACTTTAGGAACACTTTGAATTAAGCTCAGTGTTTTCCTTCCTAATGTCATCCTATTTGAAAAAGAGGCAGAAAAATTATACTAACAATAGTTGTATATAGTCAGGAACATTGTAACTGTTGTTAAACAAAAGTGCACATAAGAATTTGAAATGTGACACTGCATAACAGATGTAGAATAAAACTATATTAACCCTGTTAAAATATTATTTGATTATGCATTTGAAACAATGTAACAACCACAGAAAATAACAGATACATATCAAATCAAAATTTGCACAGCTTCTTGATTTTGCAATTAAGAAATTTGTTTTCTTACTTCACTGAAGTCAAGATAACCACAGAAAATGTCAAATTTACAACATAATGAACCCACTCCCTAAAAAACAATATACACTTTTAATGCAGAATATTGGTCAAAGTCTCTCACAATCTACCATAACAGAAGAAACACATTTTTGAAAGCGAACATCAATATGTTAAAAATAATGCCTTGAGCTCATACTGTCTTCACATGCAAGCACAATGTAAAGTTAATCTTAAATATAAATGAGAAAATCAAAATAATTATCTTAACAGTCCCTCTCTCATTTGTCATTCTCAATTTGAAAATTCAATGAGCAAGATACAGACAGTATTTTTAAAAGCTTTCACCAGCCTTGACTACTCTTTAGTAGTTATCCCTATTGGAGAGGAAAATTAAAAAGAGAAATTATGACAAAAAAGTAGCAAACTGCCAAGGTATGAAAGGACAGAAAATACAATCATTAAAGAGATCCTCTTGCATTTCAAATCTTTCTTTGAACTGGCATATAAAATGAAAGATAACATGTTCATGAAGAGAATATAATTTGAGTTTATTACCTCATTGTAACCAGCATATTATAAACTAATTTGGGATATTCAGAATTAAATAGAATAATGCACAAAGAAATGCTGTCTCTGAATTAAGGAGCCCTGAAACATACAAAGTACTTAATAGTGATTTTCTCAGCCCAAACGGCTTTTTAGTAATTTTTAATGGTTTTTTTCTTTATTTCACTTCTTTTCTCTTTACCATCTTCTCTGAGGTAGCCCAAACCATTTTTTAATTATCTTCATACATTAGAGCTTCATACATTTCCAAACTTTTATTCTAAGTCTGCTTCCTCAGATACTAGTTTTCAAAGAACCTTGACTAATTACAGGTTGATGGCCTACTGCAGACAAGCAACTTATATTGTATCGAAGTAGAAAAAGTCATATTTCAAAGTCTTTCAAAAATTCAAAATAAAAGTTTACAGAAAATTTTTCACAGAGGTTTTAAATATATTCACCATCAGCCACAAAGAATTCATAGTATATTTCAAAATTGCAGAACAATATATATGATTTTCCTTCGATATAATAACTTGTCACATAAACCAGAAAAAAGTTATTAGCAATTCTGGGTTGAAAATCATGTGTTCAAAAAAAAAGTGAGTATTTTAGAAAATAACATTTACTTATTAGATTTATGTATAAATTCTTACCTAAGCTGTTTAAAAGCTTCTGCTTTCACAAGTGGTGTTTCTACAGAATGTTCAAAAAGTGCTCCTTCAGGCCCTGCAAAAAAACCCAAAACAAACAAACAAACAAAAAACCCCAAAAAACCCACTGTAATGTAACAGTTAAAATATAACCAAAAATAGCAAGAGTGTTTTTTTTTTTTAATATGGCCACTTCGATGTTGGACATCAAGATAAGAAAACACATGTTAAGAATTATAAGAATTATAAGACAATTGAAATATAGCTATGTTATTACCATTGCACCATTGCTAGGACAAATACAATATAGAAGTAATGTAAATGTACAGCTGTAAATTCTTAAAATGGTCTGAAGATAGATAAATTTTAAACTACTTGCAACAATAAAATAAGTAAATAAGATTTATACAATGTAACTTTCAATATAGTTAATAGAGAGAATTAACACCATATAAAATCTTTGCAAATACTACAGTCCTAAATAATCATATTTATTTTAGACTTCTCCATGCATATCACAACTTCTGTCATGTAGCTTTATCAAAGATTTTCCCCAATTTATAGGCAGACTTGATGAATATGAAATGGTGTTTCTGCATGCAAAATGTTAATGACTATGGGATCAGATAGTTTACATCTTGATATATGAGTAGTTTCATTCCAAAGAGGAAGAAATAGTGGGCACCTAGCCTCACCAGCAGTCTACCTGTTGGACCTGAAAATCTTCCAAGGACCTCCATTCCTGCTCTCTGGAGTATTAGCATTATTTCAGTATCAGCAGCCCGGTGACCACCTTCCACCTAAGCTCCACTAGGATCAGGAATCGGCTGATGTACGACAAAACCCCCTCAGCAACAGAGACAGCTCAAAAAAGCAGCTGAAGACCACCAGCCACAGCAAGGGTGGAGCCTCTCAACTTCTGTTCCTTGGCTTCGTGAACACACTCATTTTTCTTCACTTTTGTGAAGAAAAAATTGGAGAGGTCTCAGGTTGAGAGACCTTCTCTGGTTTTGAGGATTCACATACCTGAGCACTTTCCAGGTGAATATGTAGCAAGGCAATATATTTTAATTGTTAGAATATTAGTCAAGGTGGCTTGTCTGGCTGCTCTTTATGCCACCACCCTCTTGAAAGAATTCTGGGCTGTAAAAATCCCTCCGTTAGGGATTTGGGCTCTGTCTAGACAGAGAAGGGCAGTGCAGTGTATTATATTGTATTAAATGTAATATAAAAGGAAAAAGAGAATTAAAATTGGGGAAACCTCAGAAAGCCTGGTGAAAGGAAAAGAAGTGAAATCAAGAAAAAACATTAAAAATGAAAATATTGCTGAAACAACTGATAGGAAGACTATCACTTTATGAGGACTGCAGGAAAATGATCAGGATGTCCTGAGAAGGCATGAAATGTGCTGCTTTTTGAGAAGAGTTTTAGCTGAAATCCTGATTCCTTAGAATGAAATCTCCTTGGATGGAAGAGAAGAACACAAGCTACAAGAATTACCATATTAAATCACTTCAGCACTTTGAGCAATCATTGATTTACTAAGCTTGAATTTAAATTTTATTTAGCTGTTGATACTCTTCTCATAAATTTAAATAGATTAATCTTTCTGTAAATTACAGAAGATGTACAAACTGGCATGAATATAATACTGGAAAATACAAAATTTATTAATTCGGACAGAGCTTTAACCCTACTTTATTAACATTTAATTTAATTTTCATTAACACTAGGATTATTCTGCAGCTTAAGGAATTAAAAGTGTTTATCAGAAAATGCTGATTTGGTACAACTAAGATATTTTGCAGGGATACCCTGATATGTTAAAAGTGCAGATGTGGCACCTGGGAACATGATTTAGTGGTAGACTTAGCAGTGCTGGGTTAATGGTTCAGCTTGGTGATCTCAAGAGTTCTTTTCCAACCTAAGTGATTCTATGATCCCATGATTCTATAAAGACAAGTAAGTGGTTACAGAGATAATATCAGTTTCATGTGTTAATCATCATGTGTTAAACATCAGTGTTAATGCTCTGGGTGGTGGACAGATGTAAAATGGTGTAAAATTGAATGAAAAGGCTTATTTCCATATTCTAGAGCTGTCACCTCTAAGCAAGAATAAAACCTTGCCTTCAATGTGAGTAAAACTTCTTCATCAAACAGCATTAAGTTTTAATAGTATGCCACTAAAAGAAAAAAAATCCCAAGGCAACCTTTTTTGGAAAATGGCCTTAAATTGATTTCCTGTCTTCATTTCCTAGTTTAACTGGTGTATGACTATTACTGTATTTACTATTTTATAGGCTACTGTTTATTAAGATATTGTAATTTATTCCTAAAATACACAAGAACAAGATATTAAGGACTGAAGTCAGCAAGATTCATTAACACCCCATGCACCCTATCAGGCAAGGACCATTTGCCTCCTCACAGCCTAACAGAATGTTTACTCATACCCTCAAATTGCCTCCTACTTAACTTACCTTCTGAGCAGAAGTGTTTAAATTAAACACACACTGTCACATTGCACTTCAGCATTAGCTACACAAACTGAAAACCTTTGCACAGAACAGAGTAAATACTCTAGGGGATTTTTATAAAAGACAAACAAGCAGAAGGGCAAGTAGTAAACTGGAGAAAGGGTAATATAAATATGCTTCTCCATAAAAAAAACTGATCCTCTCTGCCCTATCAGCTTTCTTTTAAGGAAAAAAAAAGTGTAGATGTGGCACTAGGCAATGTGATTTAGAGGTGAACATAGCAGTGTAAGGTTTATGGTTGGATATTTTCTTAGAGATCTCTAACCTTTACAATTCTCTGTTTCTATGAGACTACCAAGATGACATTCTAAAGCCAGCCAATACAGTTATAAGGTGGTTTCACTGTCACCAGTGCCAGATGAATGAACAGAACCTTCCCAGAACAAAACACGGATGCTCAGTACTGCCACAGCAATATAATAAATGCCTGCAAAACACAGGTCCTTACCGAAATAATATTGAAGAGGATGCAGTTTTTGTCCATGCTCCTTCAGGAGCAGTAATTTTCACAAAGGGTTAAGCCCAGCTTCAGTTTCATATGCACTGAGATGTGTCTGTGACGTAGAAGTCACAGATGAGCCAGAGGCAGTGTTTCTTTGCCTCCTCCTATGTCCTTACTGTCATCTGGGACACCCTTGTGCATCCTGCTTGGCCTCCAGCTGCCATGACCACGGGAAGCATCTCTTGGAGACAAAGCAATACCATGTGGTGCCTCACACAGCCCAGGGTGTTTCACACACAGCTGGATGTTAATGTTTGAGCACCTGAGCTCAGCCCCTATCCACTATAGCCAAGGCAGAGACAAGCCTTGGAGCCCTCCCCAAAGCAGAGAAGAGCATTTGGTGGGCACAAGAGCTCTGCCTGCCAGCATCTCTCTGTGTTCCAGGGAAATGTGACCACCCAGACCTGCCAGTGACCCTGCAGGGTATCGGGGGCATGTTCCTGGTCCATGCTTTCCTCAGGCATTTGCCCTTCTTTGATCTGCACTGTTCTATTCTACACAGGCCACAGAAAGTCTGACTGAAACAGTGTAGGAAAATGACAATTCTTGAGGTGTTGGATTGGATTATATTACTCTTAGACATTTTCCTTTGTCTTGAAATATCATAAATCATACACATTTGCTCTCTGCTATATTATATTTTAGTTGAAAACTGTCAGGTTTTCTAAAAATCATTACTGAGCTTTTCATTATTCACATAAATAAGGAGAAGTAAAATCACATAGTTCACTACACTGTACATAAAAAAACTGTGAAATGTTCTTTGTGTATTTTAAGCCAAGGCTTATCTGTTTTTTATGGTATGAACTTTTCAAAATTTATTTCACATTGATCTTGTTCTCTATCTAAAATGTTTAAAAATAGTCTCAGTATATATTAGTGTTATTAATTTATCCTTCATGCTAATAGTATCATTTAAATCACAATAATTTATCCTTCATGCTAATAGTATCATTTAAATCACAATTTTAATAAATTAATTTGAAGCAAAGTAGGCATGAATCTCCTCTCATTTACATTAATTTTACACTGAAATAACCTCACTGGCTTTAATGTATTTCCTTTTGAATTCTACTACAGTGTAAAAAAAGAAACAGGCAATGTGTCTTAGTACAATATCTGAAGTAAATAATTATCAATGCACTGTAAAGATTAATATTGGATGAGTGAGTCATTAATATTAGCATAACAATTTCAACTTGTGTATGAATGATTTTTACTTACTTTGAGCAGAGACAGACCTTTTCCAAATCAGTTAACAATTATGCAGTTTTTCATATCTTTGTTAAACACACTTTTCTATTAAAGTTTAGCATCCCTTGGGCAAACAATAATTATTTGATATGGTTTCCTGGTTAAACAAAGTTGTAATTTCAATTAGGTTAAAAAGTAAAGAACCTTAAGATAAGACCCTCAGGCATAAACAAAATTTATTAACACAATTATTATAACTTAACTTTGGCTTTGAAACACTAATTGTATAGTTACTACTATACTTATAGTTTTGGCAGTGAAATAATATGAATCTATTCATGAAAATGAAGACCTCAAGATTTCAGAGGACCAGTAATTAGTGACGGTCAAACATGACAGTTGCAATCAGGTAAAAAAAAATTAAAATTAATTGAAAAGAAATTACAGAATAATTTCAATATTTCCTTTGATGGATTCTTCTGCTCAAAGAAAAATCACACCTTGATATATCTATTTTAATGCAACCTTACACCTAAAAAATGAAGGTTGACTTTATCAGGTTGTATGAAAGGAAGTAGCTTTTCATGTGATAACTTTGACATATTACTTTGTAAATGAGTACTTCAGTGATTTGAAGAAAAAGCCTAAGTCAAACTTTTCTCTTGACAGGTGACATTTAAGATATACTACAAATATCTTCCTGTGACATATGTGCTACTCACAGAACAGAAATACAGTAGCTTTGAAAGACAAAACCATATAAAAATATCAGAGAGATATTTCTCTCCCTAAAGCTTCCACAGATCAGACTCATTATTACTCAGAGTGGAATATCTAGAATTTTTTCAGCTTTGGACAGTGTGCGCTGGAATCATTAAATAATTCATAAAAAGTTGCACCATTACGGTTCCAGTTACTAATGGCTTTAAAATAAAACAGATACAGAGAGAAATATTTACACATTTTAAATAAACATATATATATGTATATAAAAATAATTTTGTGTTTAAAATTCTGATTATTTATTCAAAAAGGTCAGATTATCTTCATATTTCTGTTTCCTAATGAGGTAAAACAAGAACTTAAGAGATAATAACATATTTAAAAATGCCCTTTTTATTGTTCCTTTCATATTGGTATTATATGAGTATTTCTTATACCATTACAAACCTGTGACTCGAAGCTTATCTGTGCCAATTACAACTTCATTTTCATCCACTGTAAAAAGTGGCTTGCCATCCTTTGAGTTGATCTGAAATTGCTGACTGTGGAATTCTACCATTTTAGGACCTGCAAAACACAGTGGAATAATGGAATCATTTTGACATATTTCTTTAATTTTATATATAAATTAATAATTTTAATTGGTGTGTTAATCATGTAGTAACTCATTTAAGTACACTGAAGGTCAAGAAGCACTCAGATATTCTAAGGATAGTGCCCTTGTAAGTTCTGAAATTTGTTAAGTCTATTTACATGATCTAATCTGTTGCTTAAAACCATGCCTGGAGTCTTCCTTTATAGCTGTGTTTCCAGGGAATCTAGAAATTCCCACATAAATTGATCCAGACTAACATTCATGTTCTTGGTGTTGAAACTGCTTTGATCAAATTAATCTATCTTTTCTTTTACTTTTTTTTTTTTTTTTTGGAAACAGAAACTAATTATCAAAGTCTTTGTAGCATTATCTCTTTTCATTAGGGAGGCTCAAATGCTTTAAAGCTACAAACATTCCATGTAAGAGCAGGACCCCAGCTCTTCATAACAGATGCCAGTTTGGCTCCACATATCTAACAAATGCTACTGATCATGTTCTTAATGGTTTCAAAAAGCTACCAGAATATTTGCAATTGATCCTGGTACTCCAAAAATGAAAATAATACAAGCAAGAGAGATTGTGCATAGTTCCAGATCCTAAATTCACTAAAACTTCCTGTTCTACACTACTGGCTTGGCAAGCAGCTAAAAATTAAACCCGTAATATTCTCTCTTCTAACAATCTGACCAATTAAAATTCACACCACATCGAGCCTGAATATCTATTACATAGAGTTGTCATCATAAATCTATATTCAGAATTAAAATTACAGAGAATGGTCAAAGCAGTTAAGACTCCTTTTCAGCAATTTTTAATAAATGTATTTCACAGACTATCCACAGGACTGAGAGGCACTGAACTGCTTCCTTCCCATTAAGAATCTGTTTTCCCATGTCTGCTCCCATAAATGTTAAATATATTCCAGACAGTAATTCTCAAAAGAAATAGGATTTTTTTTTAAAAGATCTTATGTTAAAGGGGCACTAAATACATGCAGGTATTTCACAAAATCAGGTTAGTAGCTGGTACGAGAGAAGCACACCATAGAGCTCCATACAAATTGCTTATTGCTTCACTCAGCAGAGGCAAAACATTGATTTTAGGTGTCCACTAAACACAAAGAAAAAATTACAGAAGCCATAATGTCCTAAACTAGGGCAACAATTTTAAGGCATAAAACCCAATACTGATTCTACCTGAAAATGGTGAGGATAGAGGGCTGAGCTCTGCATTATGTTATGCTCTGCAGCACATGTGCACCCAATCACAGCCTTATGGACCGCAAGTTGGCTCTTCTCTAAAGCTACTCTGAAGCCCACAACTTTATTTCTGAGAAGTATGTTGCAAACAGTAACATCAGAAAATACTGTTGTCGAAGTGAAAAGGCCTTAAACAGTATTTTTAATTTTTTTTTTTACAGCAAAAGAAACAGTTCTGGGTAAGTGAGGCAGGGATGGATCCCTGTCAATGGTTTCCTAGAGAATCTTGGTTAAGGTTTTATTTAAGGTCCCTTCCAAACCGAGTAATTTTACGGTTTAGTGATTGTTCCTGTTTGTGCCCAGCAACAATCATGAAACTGGCCTTTTATGTAGTGTAGCTAGATCCTTGTGTTTTCAAACAAATCAAAGGCCTGAGTAAAATGAATATTATCATCTTTACCAGTGCAGGGGCTGGTCCGTCATCCTTCCCACTCATCCAACCCCATGATTTTTAAAGCTAGCTTAATTAAGGAAAAACTCTGCAGGCACTATGAGAGCACTCACTGAACATTTTATATGTTCCAAAGGCACTTTAACTTGTCTCTGAAACTCCAAGTCATGGCCTTGCCCATGCTGGATTTGCATTCAGACCTTGCACACTTGAATAAATCATTAACAAGAATCTTTAGGTCTACAGTTTTCTTAACACAAGTGCCCCACAAGGATTGTCCTATAGATAATCTTCATTATCAGAGAATGGTCTGAATAATAACTGATGTATTTTAAATATTAAGAGGGAATGCTAGGGTAAACAAAATTCAAGCATATGTTTTATTCATGCTAGAGATGAGACATCTCAGAATTTCAAGTAGAAAAAATAGGCTTTTACATAAATGGAATAAGTTTATGTAATGAAAAGTAACCATTAATTTCTCTTAATGGTATTCCACAATACACATAAACTAGCTATATTGCAATAACACTAATTGTATCATAATCCCAGTGAGATTAATTTTCAACTCACAAACAACAGCCAAACTCAGTATCTGAAAGTGTAATCTCCAAATGCCTAGATGTGTTTTGTTTACCACCCTGGTGTATTAACTACATATGAGTCAAATAATACTGTATAATCATATTTGCTGATAAAATCCTACGATTAAAAATGCAACCTGACAATGCAGGTTATAGAAAGTATTTGTTTGTTGTCTGCTTGCTGTCAGATGTGTCACACAAATTTCGAGGTCAATGGGTTATTCTTGCTAATCAGGCTGATTATTGCCCATTGTTTCTGTGTGTTTCCTCCTTTAATGTGCAGCCCTGAAGAGACCTTGTAAGTGATCTTCACATCACATACCTCTTGACACTGAGGATGCTGCTTTAAATGGTGAACTTTTTTTTACCAAAAAGAAATTGACATACTGCTAAACAGTCTTCATTTTCATTTGTCCTCACTCTTTACTTCCCTAGAGGTTTTCCAGGGAAGGAAGCTCTTTGTTTAGTAACTCCATTTCAGTTGAAAAGCATTTTAATAAACTGTCTTCTACTGCTACACAACCTTTGAATTCTAGACCAATACAAATATAAATGTACCAGACATCAAAGGATCTTCTGTCAAAATCAGGACCAGCCATAAAAGAAATAGCTTAGAAGAAATGCTTAATGCCAATGAAATCTGAAGACTCTGAAATTTGAAGAGTCTGCCTACATGTTATCTGCAGGCAGACTCTTCAAATAGTCCTGCCAAATACTAAGCATTTTTAGTGTCTCTTTAGATCTTTCAGAAGAAAAGGCTTTCCAACATTGGATTTACTTCTATCATTAAGTAATGTAATAACTTTTATTTTCTTACTCTCTTTTCTTATCTGCCATTTCCATTTAACCTATGGCTATCAGCTACTCTGTATGCTTTGCTCTTCTACCACCTAGAATCATTGAAGTACTGGGTATAAACTAAAATCCTGTGTGCTCTCTGGTATTCCTATGCAATTTCCTTTTTTAGGTAATTTTTATTAAACTAAAGCACCTTACTTAAAAGAAGATCTCATTAAAAGTGTATTAAAAATGTAATACTCCTACAGATTCAGTTCTCCTTCCATGAATGATAGAATACAATACCAATAAATGTAAAGTCCTTACTTTCAGAAACATAAAATTAGTTATATTTTCATATGGAACGTATGGTATTTCATTAGAACAAAGGTATTACTACAGAGAATGTGCACATTGCACGTGCACATTTTATGTCTGTAACATACATCTCTCATAGGTTTGAACAACTCTAACACATGAATAGAACAATTGTTGCTCCTGTTTCCCCTTTTTCTCTCAGTTCTCCTTTTATTCAATGGATGAAGCAATTACATCCTCTCAGATCAAAGTAAGAGTGCCTTACTGTCAACACTATTTATACTTTGTTGTGATCTGTGACTGAATCACAAGTCTAGAGATCTTAAAAAATTGGTCACCTTTTCTCACAGGCTTAATTAATCCAAATTTTGTTGCATTATGTACTTCAACAGGAAAAGCTGAAACACACAATCCTCAAACAGATAAGGTGAAAAGGAAAATAATAAAGGAGATGAGGCATGATAATTTGAAACCCTGTATGCAGAGAGGACAGCTGATCTGAGTCTCTCATTCCTAAGTGAGTACTTTAACTACTTTATTGTCTGTAGAATGGATATTCTTCTTCTTCTTTTTCTCTTTTTTTTTGAAAAAAAAGAAAGCCATGAGTGTACTTTCCTAGGGTCAGCTCGTGCACTGTGTTTTAGCAGTATTCTAAGCATACTACTGGATCTGGGCAGAGGACAGTGTGAGAGGATCAGCTGAACAGATGGGGCATGATTCAATTCACAACATCGCTGTCTAGTACCATTATACATTCTGTTGTGCTCTCTGCCTGGCCTTCAGATTATTTCAGATGTCCTAGAGTTTCTAGGACATCCATATCAGACCAGAAAGTATGACATGGGGTCTGTAAGCAATGTGAGCCCTTCCAGCGTGTCAGCTAAGACTGGGCAAGATGGAATCACAGAAGAATGCAAACTAGAGGTCACCTCTCTATGCCCTACTTCCTAATCACAGCAGGGTGAGCTTACTTGGAAGTTAGATAAAGGTGCTCAGGGTCTTGTCTAGATGAAATTTTAATACCTCTGAGGATTTATCAGCCTCCCTGAGCAATCTCATCCCATGGTTAACCATGGAACAGTGGTGATTTTCCCCCACCCCTTCTATCCAGTTGCATTTTGCCTCTCTGCAACCTGTGACCATTGCCTTTTGCCCTCTTGGTGTGCATCTCAAGTCTGGATTCATGCTAGTGATTGGACAGCAGGAAATGGCCGCAACCAAGAGAGGTTCAGGTTTGACATTAGGAAAAAGTTTCTCCACTAAAAGAGTGGTTAAACCTTGGCACAGGCTACCCAGGGAAGTGGGTTCAGAAGTGTTCAAAAAATGAGTAAATGTGGCACTTTGTGATATGCTTTAGTTGGCAAGGTGCTATTTGGTCAAAGGCTGGACTTGACCTTGGAGGTCTTTTTCAACCTTAATGATTCCATGATTTATTTTGCCTTCAGCCCTCCTAGTATCAGGTGCCATGTAGAAGCTCTCCTTAAGCTTTCTCTTTTTGCAGGTTTTAACAAACACAACCTCTTCAGACTCTTACACTTCGTGTGCTTCCACTCCTTGACCATCTGAACAGCTCCCTGTGGGCACCTCCTCTGCTCTCTCCTCTGTCCCACTGGACAGGGCTCCACAGAATTCCAGCCGCAGCC